GGGGGGTACTGCACCACCACTTCACTGACATGATGTGAATTTAATATTCAGCTGAGTAAACATGTCATATCCACCGAATAACTCGCCGATTCTAAAACGACTCACTCGTCTCTCCCCATTATGCAGTCAGAGATAAACTTTTGCATCCTGATCTCCAATACAATAAAGCTAATTGAATTTTATAAAACATTCTTTAAAGGCAAAATGAGTTTAGTCTCTGCTGAAAATACAACACTTCTCTCTATAGGAAATATGTCAGCAGAAGACGGAGGAAATATAACAGGATCACTACAGGAACAAATTACCACGTAAGCGGAATTTGCTGATTGCATTAACATGAGTTTAAAGGTGCCCATACACCTTACATTTATCTGCAGATTTTCTGTGCTCAGATGGAATAAGTGCAATAAGTCCATCTGACCACAGAACATCTGCAGATAATTGTAAGGTGTATGGCCAACTTTATACATCAGGAAAACTCCCTTCTGTCACTCTAGTTCAGGGGTAGCCAAATGTTGGATCTCCAGTTGTGGTGAAACTACAAAAAATCCCATAGGGCATTGCCAGGGCTTTCACTACACGACTGAGGTGCGGGTGGGGGTGTGTAGGGCTGGCAGTGGATGTTCATTACTGGGGTGGGGGGGGGGGGGGGGGGGGGTGTTGGTGCTACCTCTGGGTCCAGCAGCTCTGTCCAGCATCCCACCCAGCTCACTGATGTCACTTGATGCCAGGAGCTGGGCAGGACATCATCCAAAGCGTCCTGCTCAGCTCCTGGTAAAAAGTGATGTCAGTGAGCTGGGTGGGAGGCCGGACAGAGCTGCTGTGATAGGGCATCACAAGTTGCTAAGAGTTCTTCACCTGGTGATCCTAGGAGTGACGCACTTCCTGTCCCTGGGTTAACTCTCTCGTCTGTTGTATCTGTGGAGGCATTGTTGCCACCCAGGTTGGACTTCATGCATGTCTTTGTTCATCTCCCATTACATGATAATTTGATGGGATTAGTAGTTTACATGAGAACCCGGGTAAATGTTCTCAGCCTAAAAAACTAAAACTAATGCAGCTGCGCTATCTAAGGATTGGTAAGCTGCAATATATAAAATGTTTGTTCTTGGGTGTAGTTATACCGTGGGCCCTGTGTATAAATAACTGAGTCAGACTGCCCCATCCCTGCTATGGAATAGGTAACTCTTACGTGACCCAAGCAGCAGTGTGTGTAATCTGATCTCTCCGGTATGTACGTCATAGATAAGCTGTAAATGAACTAGAGAAAGCTGTTCGGAAGTTTGCTGCTCGTAAGGTACAAGTGGTAAAGATAAAATGTGCATATGCAATATTTTATATTTATCTGAATAAAATTAAATAAAATATGTTTTAAAAAAATGTAACTTGCAGTTCTAAATGCAACATGTATGTGCTCCCCATGTTTGGGTGGATTTCCTCCTCTGATTTCCTCCTGATGACATACTTCTAACTGTCATCAGCATATCTGGGTGCTAGTGCGTATTTGTGTGCTCCAAATGACTGTAAGCTCCTCGGGGGCGAGGAATTATGTGATCGGATCAAACGGTGGCTCAATATAAAGTCATGAATGAAACTATGTTTGTGTTCTGTTGTCAGGTTTTCCTATTACTACACCGGTCTGGGAGGAGGGTCACTGATCGCTGCCTACGTTCAGATCTCATGTTGGACTCTAGCTGCTGGACGGCAGAGCAGGAAGATCAGACAGAACTTTTTCCACGCTGTGCTGCGGCAGGATATCAGCTGGTTTGATGTCACAAGGCCAACCGAGGCCCGGCCTTGGGGCAGCAGGGAGTAGAGGGGCAGCAGGGGTGTGGAATTCCTATCTCCCGATGGACGGGCCATGCAGTTCTAGGCGCCGGGCAGGTACTGGTAGTTGTTTTCTACATTTAGCCCTGCTTTGGGCAAGCAGGGCTAAATGTACAGCGGTGAAGCTGACGCTTGTTTTGTACAAGTGATCTCAACGATGTTGCCCATATTACTTGTATGCGGTGCCCATTGAGGAACCTGGCATTGGGGCAGCAGAGATAGTAAATCCGGCCCTGATCTTGGTTAAAGAGAAAGTGTAGTGATTTTTCAGCAAGTTTTATTGTATCAAATACAAAGACTTGTAGATTAGATGTAGATGTATAAATCACTGCTATCACTGCAAAGAGGTTATCACAGGGAGTGCATTGCTTTCAATCAGTCAGCCGACTCATAGACTTTGATTGTAAGAAGCAAAGGCTGCATATGTATGCAAATGTGGCTGCTGCCATGTACTGTCAGGGGCGTCCCCATAATGAGGCACCTCATGGGGTGGGCAGCAAGTGTGAAGAGGGCTGCAACATGAGTGACTAATAGCTAGGCAGCCACCCAGCTCCCACTCAGCCATCTGCCGTCTCCCGCTCGGCCATCCACCACTTCCCACTCGGCCCCCTTCTCCTGGCCACCTCAGGTGGCGAGAAAGCTAGGGACAGCCCTGTGGGCTGTACCAGTTGACTGAGAGATTGGAGCTGGGGCTGATCTATGTAAGACATTTGTGAAAACAGCCAAGAACTGCACAGGCAGCAGACTTTACACAATTGTGTCATCTCTGAACTGGCATCTCAGTCCAGGAAGTAGATGCTGGTCCTAGATGATGTCTTAACAAAGATGGCTTCTTCCTTCTGGAGGGAAAAGCAGATAAAGGCATTGGGGAGTGATGTGGTATCTGTGAGAGGTAATAAATACCTGAAAGTGTTACACTTAAACATTACTTAGTATGTATGCATGGAACATAAAAACATACACAGACATGTGAAAAAGTAAGTGCACCCCATGGAAATTGTTGATATTTTCCAACGTATTTGATCTGGTAAACATTAGCTCTCGATTCAAATAGTGCCGACAGATAAAAGTGATATACTCGAACAAATGGCATTTACAATTAACTTGGTGTATTCATTTTCATGATCTGGGTCTGGTGTTGTCTTATGTTATTGACCTGTGTGGTGTCGCCAAGATCAACAGAAATCAATTGTTCTGCTGTAAGAAAAGTAAAGTAGATTTCAAACAACTGCTAATCTGCCCAGTGCTGACCGGCCCAGCAAATTCAACCCAAGAGCTAGACATGTGCGATTCGTTTCGTTACGAATCGAAATTCGTACGAATTTTCCTGAAATTCGTAGATTCGTAAGCATACGAAATCCGAATGGCAGTTTCCGAATTTATGTCCGAAATACGAAATTCCGTTAACGAATTTCGGATCTGAATTTATTTGAAACAGGAACTAATATTACCCCTGTAAATGAGGTTGAACAACATGACAAGATTTTTTTTTTAATCCGAAATACGGATCCGCTGCTGCTGAGAGTTGCATTACAATACACAGGCAGGAAATACGAAATTCCGTTGACGTATTTTCGTTCCGTTACGAACATTCGTTATATTGAAGTTAAAAAGCAAAGTACATTTATATTGGAGTTGATGGTAGTTTTTTTTAAAGTCCGAAATACGAAATTCGGATACGGAATCCGTTAACGGAATTCGTATTTTGTTTTGGTTGACCAATCAGAGGTTCTCTTCTGCTGCTGAGAGTTGCATTACAATATACAGGCAGGAAATACGAAATTCCGTTGACGTATTTTCGTTCCGTTACGAACATTCGTTATATTGAAGGTAAAAAGCAAAGTACATTTATATTGGAGTTGATGGTAGTTTTTTTTTAAGTCCGAAATACGAAATTCGGATACGGAATCCGTTAACGGAATTCGTATTTCGGATAAAAAAACAACTACCACATCGACTCCAATATTAACAAAGGTATTTTTGCTTTTTAACTTCATCATAAGGAATTACATTAAAGTTACGAAAATGTGCCGAAACTAACGAAAATCCGTATTTCGTACGAATCCGAATTGAGTTTCGGATACGAATTACGAAATACGAAATAATGGATATTATGAAACGGAACGAAATGAAACGGAACAAATTTTTTGACGGCGCACAAGTCTACCAAGAGCTGACTGCTTGATGCTAATTGAAGTCTCTAAGAACTCCAAAATGTCACTGCGGGGTGTTCAGGCAACTCTTGCAACAGTTGGGGGTCAAGGTGCAAGCATCTACAGTCAGCAAGAGATTGCACCAGTTCAACCTCGATGAGAGGTGTGTTAAGAAAAAGTATTTGCTGTTCAAAGAAAATTAGAGCAAGACGTCAGTTTGCTATTAAACATATAGGCAAAGAACAAGCCTTCTGGAACAATGTCCTGGAGAGTGATCAATCAAAGAATCAAAGATAGAATTGTTTGGTTAAAGTGATAGTAGACATGTTTATCGCAAACCGAAGACAGTATTTCAAGAGAAGAACCTTAAAACAACTGTGAAGCATGGTGGTGGAAATGTCATGGTTTGGGGTTGCTTTGCCACTTCAGGACCTGGCCAGCTTGCAGTCATCAAGTAAGCTATACATACTGCATCATATCAAAGTATGCTTGATAAGAATATGAAGCCATTGGAACTGGAAATGAGCCTTTTAATGTGATAATGTTCCGAAGCACACTAGCAAATCCACCAAGGAATTACTCAAAACAAAAGAAATAGAGGGTTATGGACTACCCTTGTCAAGCCATGATTTAGATTTAATTCCCATTGAAATGTTGTGGGGGAATTTTAAATGGTCAGTTCATGCAAGGAAACCCACAAACTTCGTGCAAATGAAGGAATTTTCCATGAACAAGTGGTCAAAAAAAAGTTGATGTCAGATACTGGTGGACAGTTATACAAGAAGACATTTCTGCTAAAGAGGTCAATACCAGCTTTTGATGTCAAGGGTGTACTTAGTTTTTCCACAGCACACCATTACATCTATTGATATTTTTGTTGAATATTTGAAAAGGCAATTTTAGCTTCTCTAAGTATATCACCTTAAAGTCACATTTGTTTTTACATATATACTATATTGTCAAAAGTATTGGGACACACCTCCAAATAATTGGATTCAGGTGTTCCGTGAAATTTCCTTGCTACTAAATATTCCATGCTCCCCTGTTAGTGGTATTATAACAAAGTGGAAGCAACTGGGAACAACAGCAACTCAGCCACGAAGTGGTAGGCCACATAAAATGACAGAGCGGGGTCAGCACATGCTGAAGCGCACAGTGCACAGGAGTCGCCAACTGTCTGCAGAGTCAATCGCTACAGACCACCAAACTTCCTGTGGCCTTCAGATTGGCACAACAACAGTGCGTAGAGAGCTTCATGGAATGGGTTTCCATGGCCGAGCAGCTGTATCCAAGCCTTACATCACCAAGTGCAATGCAAAGTGTCGGATGCAGTGGTGTGAAGCACACCACCACTGGACTCGTGAAGTGGAGACGTGTTCTCTGGAGTGACGAATCACGCTCCTCTGTCTGGCAATCCGATGGACGTGTCTGGGTTTGGCGGTTGCCAGGAGAACGGTACTTGCCTGACTGCATTGTGCCAAGTGTAAAGTTTGGTGGAGGGGGGATTATGGTGTGGGGTTGTTTTTCAGGGGTTAGGCTTCGCCCCTTAGTTCCAGTGAAGGGAACTCTTAAGGCATCAGCATACCAAGACATTTTGAACAACTTTGTGGGAACAGTTTGGGGATGGATCCTTCCTTTTCTAACATGACTGCGCACCAGTGCACAAGGCACGGTCCATTAAGACATGAATGAGCGAGTTTGGGGTGGAGGAACTTGACTGGCCTGCACAGAGTCCTGACCTCAACCCGATAGAACACCTTTAAGATAATTTAGAGCCGAGACTGCGAGTCCGGCCTTCTCATCCAACATCAGAACCTGACCTCACAAATGCGCTTCTGGAAGAATGGTGAAACATTCCCATAGACACACTCCTAAACCTTGTGGACGCCTTCCCAGAAGAGTTGAAGCTGTTATAGCGGCAAAGGGCGGAGCCAACTCAATATTGAAACCTACGGACTAAGACTGGGATGCCATTAAAGTTCATGTGCGTGTTAAGGCCGGTGTCCCAATACTTTTGTTAATATAGTGTATCTTCTGCTAGCAAGCAGTAGATGATAGGAAAATTAATCTTATTCCCTTATTCTTTGTTTGTATATAGTTGATATTTTGAGGTTCTGAATAAACTGGCCTTGAACTGCTTTGACTTGTTCACAGCTGCATTCTTGTATCATTACAACTGTGTCTTCTTATCTCATAAGTAGTAACCACCTGTATGACCATTCTATGACCCATAATAGCATATATTAATTTATATACACGTGCATGATTTTTATTGGTTTATGCTCCGCCATTCATTTCTTAGTTTTATATATATACAGGTGAAACTCGAATAATTAGAATATCTTGCAAAAGTAATTTCTGCAAAAGGGGCCCAAACCAAGTACTGAGTACATATGCATGCTTGTACTTTTCAGAGGTCCGATATTGTTCTATGTACAATCCTTGTTTTATTGATTGCATGTAATAATCTACTTTTTTGAGGTTGTGGATTTGGGGTTCTTGGGGTTTTCATGAGCTGTAAGCCATAATCATCACAATTATGACAAATCACGGCTTGAATTATCTTGCTTTGCATGTAATGAGTCTATCTCATATATTAGTTTCACCTTTTAAGTTGCATTAGTGAAATAAATGAACTTTGCACGATATTCTAATTATTCGAGTTTCACCTGCATATTCCTTGTTTTACAGTAAACCTTTGAATATAAAGTGAATACACAACTTGGTGTGACTCTTTATTCCCAAGTACTTGTTTGAAGCTGACAGCACGATTGAATCCCGGGAAACCTTAACAAGAAAGTCCTACCAGTAGACTTTGGTTTAAGTCCCACCACTGAGGGTTCAAGTCCACTCAGAGTAACTTTCCTGAGGAACCCTAACAGTAGATATATGCAAAAACATAAAACAAAAGTTACCAAATAGGTTATTATTTACCCGTGTCTCCACCACTCGCTCCCGTCTGAAGATCTGAAGATTCTTGAATGGTCGCGCAGGATGATAGGGCGGGCGCATGCGCAGTAGAGATCTTTAGCGGGGAGAAGAGGAGAGACATAAGGTAAGTCAATGCACGCAGCCATGAGCGTGCACGTCGGACAGACACCATGGGAAACAGAAGACACAGCAGTCAGCGCTGGATCAGAGACCGGCACCAGCTCTGGAGCGACTCCTGAAAACTACTAGAAAGAAGAACATGATCGGATCAAGAGGCATCATTTAGGGCCGGTGCACACCTAGGCGATTTATCGCGCGGTTTGAGTTGCGCGATATCGCACAAAACACAGATTCGCATTGAAGTCAATGGAGGCTGCTCACACCTTTGCGGTTTGTTGCACGACCGAAATCGCCCGTCGCGCGAAAAGGTTCAGGAGCTATTTTCGGGTGGTTGTCGCGCGGTGTGGGTCCCATAGACATCCGCACGGTTTACAATAAACAGTCATGCGATCGAAAACACGCAAAAACAGCTCGGCATCTGAATCGCCTAGGTGTGAACCTAGTCTTAATGGGGGGGGATTGTGAGTTTAATTTCACTTTACTCTGTAGTAACTGTTTGATTGAAGATCTAATACTTGCCCGTTCAAATAAGTTGAAAAAGTCAGCAATTTCCATGGGGTGTACTTAATTTTCCACATGGCTCTAGCTAATGCTAGGTTCAATTTAAAATACATTCATACAAGTATTTGCGTCAAGCTAATCTTGTTTTCGATTTTTTATATATTGTAATATGTTTATTTGTATTTTTTTTTTCAGGGATGTCTCAAAAATAAATGATGGTATCGGTGAGCAGCTCGCCATGATGTTTCAGTACGCCTCTACCTTCCTGGCAGGTTTTGTTATTGGATTTGTGAAGGGGTGGAAGCTGACTCTGGTGGTTTTGGCAGTCAGTCCACTTATGGGGCTCTCAGCAGCTCTGTGGTCAAAGGTAAGACATAGCTGTGCACTGAACCAGATGGTGCCCAGTGGGCCCCCGGCCAATCCAGTATTCACATCAACAAGTTACTGGATGCTCTTTTCATGTGCAAACTAGTCTACAGTAGCAGTATGGTGAGATTTGCAGGCAATGTAACTTATGGCGCAGGTTCACATTTTTACCTTACATAAAATCAAAGGCTCATCCTATATCTTATATATTGTATATAATAATTTTTTGGATTCACAAGACTGCAATGTTCTGCAAAGGACCCCGGAGGGTTTAATTAGAGGATTCTGTCTCCAATGGTGATAATAGCTGAACATAGCATGACCTTTAAAGATCCCACTTCCAGCCCCCATCACAATCTCTATGAGATCTGCAGGGGAAAACATTTGGCCATACAAGCCCACGTGGCTGCTGCGGGACCCCAATGGCAGAGGAGAACAGGTCCATGTCTGAAATGGGACTGTAAAATTGTGAGTTCAAAGATGAAGAAGTATAGGCTTTTTTTATGTGTAATTGCACATTGATCCACTTACCTAATCCAGTTTAAGAGATTTGAGG